GGTGGGGGGCCCCCCGGAGGGGGGCCCCCTGCGGGGGGCCCCCCTGAATGAGGAGAGGGTATGAGGTTTGTGTTTGTGTTCTATGCCCGGCTTGAAAGAAAGAAGAAACGAAGAAATAGTCAGGCAAGAAGAGAGAGCGACAGAGGCCGTGTAAGAAACAACGCTCCCATACACCTAAGTATATTTATACATTTGTATGTGTAAGTGTATATATAAGTGTATATATATATATATATATATATATGTATTTATTTATTTATATATGTATGTATATATAAGTGTATATATATGTATATATATATATATATATATATATATATATAGAAAACATAAACCCTAAACCCTGGAAACCCTAAAGCCTAGAAACCCTAAACCCTAGAAACCCTTAACCCTAGAAACCCTAAACCCTAGAAACCCTAAACCCTAGAAACCCTAAACCCTAGAAAAAAGAAGAGAGAAGAGAGAAGAGGAGAAAGAAATGTAATTTATATGAGATAGAGAAATAGGTAGGTTAGTGTTGCTCAGTGTGAGAAAGTATAGAGCTAGGGTTTAGGGTTTAGGACGGGGTCGATGCTAGGGTTTAGGGTTTAGGGTTTAGGGTTTAGGGTTTAGGGTTTAGGCTGCAACAATGTTAGAGTAAGCCATCAGCGGATCCAAGCGAACATAAGCAGACCCTAGAAAACCCTACAAAACCCTAAACCCTAAACCCTAAAAACCCTAAACCCTAAAAACTCTAAACCCTAAACCCTAAAAACCCTAAACCCTAAACCCTAAAACCCCTAAAAACCCTAGACCCTAGAAACCCTAAACCCTAAAAACCCTAAACCCTAAACCCTAAAAAGCCTAAAACCCCTAAACCCTAGAAACCCTAAACCCTAGAAACCCTAAACCCTAAACCCTAAACCCTAGACCTCACCGTGATGAATTGCTAAACCCCCGCCGGGGCGGAGCTCAAGGAAGACGCCGGGGCCCTCGCGGCGGCCCTTATTGAAAGTACCGGCGAAGCAGTGGCCATCTCTAAACCACAAACCCTAAACCCTAAACCCTAAACCCTAAACCCTCGGCCCGAATGAACCCAAATGAACCCCCACACACTGAACCCTTTTCTCTATACTA